CTAATTTGACTGAAGATATCCCTAATTAAACTTTGATTAAATAGCACAGGTTGTTTGGACAGAATATCTATGTATCTGTTAGGTAACATTTCCTTTCTCTGCAGGGCAATTTTAAATTGCACTAGGTTTTCAGACCTGTTTGCACTGGCAGCAGTTTAAAAGCCAGTGCTCTTTTGATGCCTGGGAGGGCAGAGAAGGAACAGTCAGCTCCCAGGCTGTGCTTGGTGACTCCACAGGGAACAAGCAAAGGCAGAGAACAGTCTTAGTCACTTGGACTGAAGATCAAGTTCAGACATCAAGAAGTGACCCAGATGCAGCTGCAGAAAGACAGATCTTGTAAAGAAAAGCAAGTCACAGGGAGGCAATGTACTGCTGCATGTTACTTGCTGCTGCTGGACCTGAGTGTAAGAGTAGGGTGACAGTGGGGAAAAAGGAAACTCCTCAAAGAACTGAGCTCCTTTATACCTTCTCCAGTCACTGAATTTGTCTCTCCAAGTGGGGATGCTCGCTCACTGTGGTTAGGTACCCAAATAGCTACAGGCATACTTCTCCCACTGTGGCTGGCCAAAAGACCATGCCCTGTCAGCACAGAGATACGTGGAGAGCAGTCTCTGCCTCTGTAACTGCTAGGCTTAACTAACCGACACGACTACTCATTACACTGCACACCCGGATAAAACCTCCAGCTGTTCCAAAAAACAACAGCTCATCAGACAAAAGCCAGCACCAGTGCCTCGGGCAAATGCCTTGCTTTTGTGTTAGCTCCCTAAAGCAACCCAAGGACCCTTTCTGACCATCAGGGCTCATAGAAGGTTTTGCCACAGCTGAAAGGGAGGTGGTTTTCTTCCCTGTGTTCCGAATTTTCACACCATTTACATTGCTCTCAAATCCCCTAGCTTGTGAGTGATAGGCTCCCTGTCTGGACAGGGACGGCTCAGAAGAGAAGGCCCGAGACAGGAGAGGTGTGTGTTGCCATTGCTGCTCCCAGAACTATCAAATGGATGTGGCCAAGCTCTGGGATTGAACTGATTTTGCTATTACTGTATTCATGCTGGTTTGCATGTTTATTACCTTGCCCATTTCAAACTTCACTGAGCTGAATATTAATAAACAGATATATTCTGAATGGATTTTGTTATTGTTGCCTAGGGTTTGTTTTTTGTTTTTGTTTTTGTTTTTGTTTTTTTTTTGTGTGTGTGTTTTTCTTTTTTTCCCCTGGCCATTAAGACTCATTATGTGGAGTCATCAGCTGTTTTGCTTTGTTTCCCATCTGCTCATACAGAACTTGAGTTCTGGGATTTTTCCCAGGGTGTGAGATAGTACTGCAGATGGGAGTGCAATTTCCACTGTTTTCATTTTGCCCCAGTGGGGCTTCATGTGGCCACTGGTGGAAAAAAATTACAATTGCACTGGTTTTGATTAAAGATTTTCCATTTCATAGAAACTTGTCAAATCTCATGATTTTTGAGATCATGTTGTTAACTAGAGTCAGCGGCATTTTTTTTCTAAGAGGATTTTCAATCTTTTCCCCATTTACAATGCCTCCATTCTCTGAAGTAAAAAAGGACTTTTTTTTGAGAACAAATCTTGTGTAATTTCAAGTCACAGGGAAACATACCCCTGCCTATGGTTGGGGAGATGATAACTTTCCGGTACCATTGCTGTTAAAGGGAGTAGAAATTGGAATCTAATGAGACTTTGAGGGGCAAGTCTAATATCCTGTGACCACTGGTAACCACCTCATATCAGACCTATCACTCGTATCAGGTTGTTGTACTGATAAGCTGTTTCAGTAACTCACTCTCTTTATGACTAGCAAACCTACTCCTCTAATTTGCAACCGGGGTATACTTTGGTCAGCTTATACCCATTTGATCTCATGACTAAGTTGTCCTTTTTCTCAAATATCTGTTCTCTCTCCCCAGTTTTTATTCCCTCCTGTATTTGTAGGGAATGATCATATCCATTTCAACCTTCGCTCTGAGAGGCTGAACAACCACTGTCTTCCATAGCTTCTCGCTGGAAAAATATGCTTTCCACTCTCCTCATCCTCCTTGCAACCCTCGGATGAACTTCTTTCAATTTATATTCGTCTACCCTGATGATGGGACCCAGAGCACTGCTGTCAGTCAGTCCTGAAGCCAATGTATGGGAACATACCTGCTCCAGTCTCACTCCCTCACACTGCTGCTTCATGCTGCATTTTCTCCTGGTCTGTATTTTGAGACATTTTCATTTTCAGGTGATGACTCCAGTTCGCTTTCAGTCACATCTTGAAAATGCCCTCTTTCTTCCCCTCTACATTCATTTTTTCACATAGATGAAGTGGTTACAAAATTATTTTGGTCAATTATTCTCTGATTCCTTTTCTTGTCATTTTTCTTCCAGATATACAATTCCTACCTTGATTTCTCTGCTACTAAAATTTCTAGACACTATATTTGGAGTAGGTTGTGCCCAGGGTGAGCTTCTGTCTCGGTGTAGGATGGTGGTACTACATTTCACAAGGACATTTCTCCGTGGTCACAGTCCAAGACTCCAAGATACTCAAGCAGCATTGAGCTCCAAGATTAAAAAAGCTTTAGCACATCACTGGCCCGGTGGCAGCTCTAGCGAAGACGTGCTTGCATGGCTTTACAGCAAGTGGCCGCAGAGCCAGGAGGGGCAACCTACCACCCTGCACCTTGTCCCACAGCAGGACGGTGCTCTGGAGGAGCAACAGCCACCATCCCCACAGCCTGCCCGGTAAATCCACCTCTCATAAGCACTGCCCTCCCCTGCAGCTAATTACTGGGCAGGTAAACCTGCAGTGCTATCTGGGAAGTCAGACAAGAGAAGGCCCATGGGTCCAGCAAGGATTTTCATTCTTAAATTACAGAAACCTAAGAAGGCTCGGTCTTCATACATTTACCCCTTTCAAAGGAATATAAGTGCTAAAGAAAAGGTCAGCCAGATTTTTTTTGTTAAACCCAACATTTCGGTATAGAAACACTCACAAAATTACCATGTTTACTTAAGAGTTTAAAGATCTTTATGCTATGAGTAGAGGAGGAGAGGAGATATTTTTAATGAAACTGCAGAATTGCTTTCATAAGGGAAAAAATGATAGGGCAATTGTGAGGGAATTATATTTAAGATTAAGACTAATTCTAGAAAATCACCTATGCCTAGTGTAAACCTCCCTGAAGTATACAGGAATCTCAGCCACGGCCTGAGACTCTTGTTGTGTTACAGATATATAAGCCTACAGATGTAGACAGTCAAGGAGAGGGGGATACGTAAAGACCGGTAATGCTGGTAGACGTCTGCAGACTTTTTAATAGGCCTTAGATATAAATCTGGTTTAATATATTTAATAAAGCACACAACTATGCTTCCTAAGCATAGGCTTTTACCTCAAGTTAGGCCAAACCATAATTTCAGGGGAAGAAGAATCAAAGTGAATTCTCATAGGAGAAAATCTGTTGAAGCAGTGAACTCTTCACCTCCAACAGCTAGTAATGACCACGGGGTACAAGATCAGATGGTTCGCTTAACCACTGAGAAACGAAATTAGGCTAAAAGTTAGATCTAGTCTGCCCAGGGGCAACATGACAAATTAGATTCATCCACTAGCCATAGTTGTATTAATGCACTTTTGTATTAGTGAACAGATTATAAAAGAAGACTTTGCCTCAAGGCAGGGTTTTCTGGCACTGAACTCATTTTCAAGCTGAGGTTCTCCCCTGAGGGCACAATAAGACCCTTCTTTGCAGCCGAGGAGTTGATCCTCAGCAAAGATTTACCTGTGAACCAGTCTCAACACTTTGGAGCTTTAAAAACGGCAGATTTTTTTTCTGTAAAGCTACATAAATCGTACATTCTTGATATATGTTTTAATAATAATGGGATATTTAGTTAAGATATTTCTAAAATCATTCAGTATGTTCCACTGTTAATATTTAAAATAAATTAAAAAAAAAAAAAAAAAAAAAGCTTGTTTTAAAATCAGCTTTCTAGGACAGGCTCTGTAAATTCATCCAGGCTCCCAGACTTGGCTGGCAGTCAGTAGTGGGAACTGCTGACCGCGCATTTGGCCTCCTCTCTTCATGCCATGGCTGCAACCCTGCAAGGGGGTCGTAGCCCTGCGCTCTCGTGGCCCTGTGAGTCGTGGCACCCACGGCACTTAACATCCCTGTGAGTGTTTCCAGCGCAAGGCTCCCCTTTGCGCCTGCAGCAGCCTGGCATCCCTCTGACCCGGGAGGGAGCTGTGAATCAAGAATGGGTTTCTTTTTCCTCTGAAGGCGAAGGACTTTTAAAATGTGCCCGCTGTGGCTGGCCTTGGCTCTGCCCGTACCCCCCACAAACCCGTGCCAAGTGTCCAGCCCTCCAGCCCCAACCCCGCAACCAGTGCGCGCTGCTGAGGGTGATACTCTGGAGAGGTGTAATTTTAAGCGTTTGGAGTTGAATGTGGAACCGGTAGATCTAAAATCAGAGATCTTAAAAGAGCAGCTCTGCCGCCTTGGCAGGGCTGGACAGAGAAAGCGGGAGCAGAAGCAGAAGCGGGAGGAGACTAACCCGTTTTCCCTTTAGATGGCAGTGGTGCTCATCATACAAAAGCTGCATTTCCGAGGAGGTGAAACCCTTATTGATAACGACTGGGGTCAGCAGCAGCAAAGCGGCAGCAAGTAATAAGGACCAGCACCGAAGTGGTGCTGCTGGCCACACTGCGCCGTACAGAAGAGCATCTCACTCTGACAGACTTTCTGTAACGCTCTGTGCAGGGGCTCATTAATTTCCCCTTGTTTTCCTGCACAGTAATCAGACAAGTAATTACGGTTCCGCAGAGAGGCTTCCTTTCTCCTACCAGACTGTGAGCACAGTCCAGGGCGAAGTGTTCCTTACCATCGACGTCTGCCAAATTACAGCCTCTCTCAGAGCCAGATGAGCCCTTTTTGCCAGATGAATGCCAGACCTGTTCAGAGAGCCAAATAAGAGATGATTTCGAAGGCAGCACTAACCTTTTCATGGGTTTGGGTGAGGCCTCCCGCTCCAAGTTGGAGGACGTGTGCTTCACGTGCATGGCGTTGTAGGAGGTGTGGGTGTACTCGTTTTCATCGCTGTAGTCAGGACCGAGTAACGTTCGAGCCCACGTCCCCATGTCGTACGGAGGAAGAGTCCCCCCAAATTCAGAGGGCAGGCATTCAGGGTGTATTAGCTGGTGAAGGCTGTTCAGGTTGTTACCATGAAGAAAGATCTTTAATAAACAAAAAGAAAGTTCAAAGTCATCACCAATTCCTTGCTTCATTAAGTACAATAGTAACAGCACTAATGAGGTGTGGAGTGTCATTAGTTGATGCTGTCGTTTCAGGTGGGAATTTCTGAAGCACTCAGGACTGGCTCGTGCAGGTGGAAAGGGGGGATTAGCTCTGGAGTGAGCAGCTGAAGAATTAGGCTGGCACTATAAACATGTCTGAAAACCCCGGTTTGCCTGCTTCGGTCACATGACACTTTCACTTCCTTAAATATCAGACCGGGGAAAGTGGAAGTTAGGAATAATGACTGATTGTTGCTGCTGTAAGAGGTTAGAGGCTTGTATGAAGATTGGTGAGAAGAAAAGGGAGATACTGGAGCTTACTGAAAGCAGATGTGAAGAGTAGGTGCTCGGCGTCTGAGAGGGCAACCCAACCCTGTACCCCAGGACTGACGTTTCCCAGGCTGTGTCACCACTTTGTGCTGCTTCAGAGACCTTTGTCTCTCTAATCTCTCTTTGCTTTCAAGCTGGTACTACCCTTGTCCTGCCTGGTCAGACATACCCCAGGGTGATCTCTGGCTAAGCTGGCTGCAGGACCACAGTTCATACAGGTTTCAGTAGGGAAGACCTGCCTCTTCTGCAGTGTGAGCAAACAGCCTTCAGGCATGGACTTTTTTTGTGGAAACAAGTGAGTTACTACCATGTGAAAACAGTCAACTTGCTGAAGGAATGAAGCAGGAAATTTTTCTCCCACAAAGAGTTGAGCTGAAGTTTCCCACACTGCGGGTGACCTCAGCCAGGCCTGATCATCCCTCCACATTGCCCGTTCTCTCTATCCCTGAGCGCGTCCCGTTAAAATATATCTGCACTTTGTTAGTGATAAGTCCCTGGCTGAGTTATTGATTCAACCTGGACCATTGCAAACTCCGAGTTTTAGTAACCGCAGCAATTCTCTGAGACCATATGAAAAGCAGAGAGAGAAAAAGAAGGAAGAAAAGAAAGCAGGCAGCTACTCCAGTTCTGCAGCTTCCTATCCACACACACACACCCCTGCCCCCCCCCCCCCCCCCCCCCCCAGCCCTGTCTAATTACCCTTTTCCTTGTCTTGTCTTTGAGGAACGGTTTGATTAGTGTGTACAGGGCATGGATGTACCAGGGCTGGTTGACAAAATGGACTCCTCCAAAGCGGGCAGGAAAGCTGTCCTGCAGAAAGAAAGAAAAGGAAGGCAGTTAATAAATGCAGTGCTTTAGTCCGGCAGTCAATAGGATGAAAGTCAGAGGAAGAAGTCTGCCTCTTTCCATCTGCAAATGAGCACTGGGCTTGCTGGGAGGGGGCAGGAGGGAAATGGAAAAAGAAAGACGCCTGGAAATGTTTGCCTCGGTTTCCTCCGTTAGCAGAAGCAGTCCCTTCTCCCCTCCACGCACTAACGCATCAATTACCGATGATTTAAAGTAGGGTCTCCAGCCACTTCGCCTGAACATTTTTTAACTCCATCAGGGCATCCGACTTGGCCGGGATGGGAAGTGAGAGGGGGTTGATGAGCACCGCTCCCTTGAGGGGAAGCTTTCTAATTTCTCATTGTGCAGCATCAGGCAAGCCCCCCGGTTCCCACGCACATTGCTGCACACAGCTCACCTTTTCACCCTTCGGCCTCCCTGCCTCCCCCCTGCTAAAATCATCATCACAATGGCTGACCTTTCAGGGTGAGCAAGCAGCATATTATGGGGAGGAGGATGGGTGGGAAATGCTGATAAGTGAAGGTGTGGGGAGAGAGCACCACGACGGCACCATGGAAACTGCCGGAGCCCGGCACTGGCTGCCAGGCTGTGCACAAACACCCGCGGCATTAGCATGCAGGTAGCGTCCCGCCGGGGAGGTGTTTGCATCAGCGTCCTACTCCGCTCAGCCAGCGTGGCACGCTTAATAAAAGAGGAGGTTGCTGGCGCGTCTTTAAAGGTTATTGTATATTGTGATGGGTGTTTTGCACCTACACTCTCATCTAACAAATGTCAGTCAGTCAGGGAAGAAGCTGGGATATTTTTGCGTTGCATAAATAGCGGGACGAGCGCCGCTCCTGTGAGCAAATACGCTGCCAGTGAGAGGAGAGGTGCCTGTCTCTCCCCTGTGAAGGGAGATTCTGATGAAGCCGTCCTCATCCTGCATGTGCTCCTATCCCCCACAGCTCAGCACGTAAAGACAGAGCATAATCAGGTCTCTTCCTTCAGGGCTTTGGCTCTGGGACTCAGGCAGGTTCATTCCCCCCACAATTAGCACAGGGTGTCCTGGGGCTTCCTCTCACCTTCCTCCAGAGCATCAGAGATTGAGCACAGCTGGTGAGGATATGGCATGGATTTGTGAGATGATATGGAAAATCCCCTTATACACCTGCTCGTTATAGCTTCTGAGCTGCTTCAAGGTCAATTTTTTTTCCCAGATTCAGCACTATGTAGGAGTCTCACCACCTCCTACCACCCAGGGCAGATTGGCAGGACTCTCTGTGCTCTTTAGCACTGGCCATGGATTGCCCTGGCAGTTGTCTTAAACCAGACTTGAGTAACGTTTGTGAGCAGCCACAGACATTATGTGATAACTTTTTCTTTTGCTATACAGTGGTATAAGCTGCTTACACCTCAGATATGTCAGCTGACCTGAAATAATGAAAAATCTCAATATTGGATCCTATGTGTAAGACCAGTGGGTAGTGAGGCCAGCATGCAGAAGGTCCAGCAGTGTAACGTATCAGGCGATCCCATTTTAAATACCAATAAACTATGAGCTGATCTTTTTAAGGATGCCACGTGCTCTGTTGAGGTGTTCATTCATGATAAAGATAACTGTATTTCCATTGTTGCTAGAATATTCATTAGAGTTTAGGGATGCAGCTCTGACTGGTACAAACTACTGCATCGCTGCAGGTTGCAGTGACTTCAACCTGGCTGTACTGAGAAACAACTGCGGAGAGTCTGAGCCCACCTAGAAAAAAACATTGACCAGCAGAAGTGTGAAATGAAGCCCGAATGATTTTCTACCCTGTGACAACCTATACTTGGGTTTTAGAGCAGATCAGAACCAACAATGCCCATCTTGTGGAAAATTCACATATTCAGTTTCTTTCCTCCCACACGGGGATGAAATTTTGATTTGAAAACTTTCACAGGATATTCTTTTTTTTTTTTTTTTTTAAAAAAGAAATTACAAAATATTAGAATGTTCCATATTTGCCTTTTAATTTATTATTATTATTATTATTATTTTATATTTGTCAAGCCAGCTGTCATCCCACAAGCTGTGTTTCTAAGGGAGAAGTTCTAGGCTCCTTTGCTCTTTGGGGCTGAGCTGACACAGCTGTCCCAGGTTGTACCATAACAGCATAGGTCAGTGTAGGAGATACAGTCTGAGTCTGAAGCAAAGGACAGAAAAGAAATGAGAGATGGGAAACAGGGGAATAAGTTTAAGACACGGAAATTTATACTGAACCGAAAAAGAAAAATTGTTTTGCCTTCTCACTGGAATGCACAGATCATATTAATCACAGTCTTCAGTGAGAAATGTCAGTCAGACTTCATTTCCAAGGGGGAACGTGGGTTCTTTAGAACATGTTGACCAGCCTTAATGACACCACATTACCCAGAAAGCTCTGAATGTTGAGAATTATAGGAACCAGCTAGAGGTTTAAACTGCCTCTGGAAAAGGCTGGCTAAGAAGAAGGACTTCTTACACAGAAAATTATTTTTATGTCCACCCAACATAGATTGTTAAATCCAAAAACTAGATTCTGTCTGGTACATCAGTAGATTGTTACAGGAAAACCCCACATGTAACAGCTTTATTTAAGGTCAATTGCTTTCTTTTCATTCTGAAGGTACACTGGAAAATGCACAAAGACCCCTGAAAAGGCAACATGATGGCCAGGAAAAAAACAGCCACCAAAGAATGTTTTTCTGTGTGTAACTTTCTGTTAATTTTTGTTGCTTGCCCTATTAAGCACAATAAGCTCAATTTGACCTCATCCCTCAGTCCACCTGCATTTGTAAGGCTGTCAATTAGAACAAGGACAAAGACATTTTTTTTTTTTTTTTTTTTTAAACCAAAGAAATTTGATATGGGAATCATCCAGACACCGTTTCGAACTGCAACATACCAGTTTTGCACAAGTCCCTAATTAGAGCATAGCTGTCTTGGAAAGAAAAGCTCCTGTCTGGAGGTCTGCCTTGCGCAGTTCCAGGAAGATGTATGAGACATTTCCCACACCCCACTTAGTGTCTCTGCTGCTTTCCCTGGGGCAAGGTGAAAGTAGCTGAAATTGATTTTCTGCTGGAGAGCTTTTGCTTTTAGGAATTCTCTTTTGATTTCTCATGTCTTGTGATTCCTTGGGAAGGTGTATTCTATAATGAGGTAAATTTTTTGGAGCCTACTGTGAAAAGGATCCTGGGATCATAGAGCCTTTTCTTAACCTGATTCCTTGTTAAAAATACCCAATCCTGAGGATATATTTACATTTTATTCCAATGGCATAAATAAAATCTAGCATGCAGGAATTGGTCTAAGTTTTTGCAGGCACTACTGTGATTTTATCTGAAAATCAGGCTGGACATATTAGCATGTTGCTCAGAGATGAAATAGCAGCCTGAATAAATACACCCAGTTCAGTCCGAACCTATCTAACTTGCTGCTCAACAATAGCAGGGAAGAAACAGTGAAAGGACTCCAGATTCCTCCTTGGGTAGCTATCCCACTCTGGAGTCAGATCAGGTCTTCTCTGTCGGGACCTGAACTGAACTAAACCAAGGAATCTATCTTCTAACCATGCTGCAGTGGCATGGTCCCAAAACTGTAGGCAAACCTAGAGAGGATTTTCCAGACACGGTTTTAGTTGTTCCTGTTGATTGAATGAAACCAGTGCCATAGATGGGACTGTTCTTTTGCCTGATGTGTCTTTTTTTTTTTTTTTTTTTGACTTTACATATTTGTTTCTTTACTGGTTTCAGTTATTCCCTTCTGCATCATCCCCCAAAAAGAGAAAGAAAATAACACCTGAGTGCCACAGTGGAGCTGCCGCAGATACCCCAAAATCCATACAGGCCTCAATACCTCTTTAATTTCAGACTGAAGAAATGTCTCCAAGCTTGCAGATCAGAGGAAAATGTTATGGAAATGAGTCCGGAACTTAAAACCCTCAGTACATAATGTTTCTCTAAATAACTCAGGAGTGATAGCTACGAAGTGAATGAGAGACAATCTTTCATTATTTCTGCCTGTTCTTGCCTTCATAACAACTATTTCTTTCGGCATGAGCGTGCATCCGAAACCTTTTACTGTGTTGTTGTTCTGATCTGCCTGAAAGCTAAAAATCAAGATGATCTCCCAGCTTCTCCTCACATCAAAGTGTGGCAGAAAAGCAAAACATACTGTGGAATATCAAAATTAGGAATAAATCCAACCTGATGCTCGCTGTCAATCTGTTTGAACTGCATTAATTGGCTTCATAGACCAATGACCTGAACTCAGAAAAGAAAATTATAGCATATTTCTAGGTTATGGGACACCCAAATTTTGTGACACAAACATTTTTAAAATTACTTAACCACTTCTACCCCTTACAATCAGAAAAGCAAACACACATCTTGCCATCCAAATGCACTTTAATCTTGCCCATACTCGCCAGTTTACTGCAAATCAGAATATAATCTCCTTTGAAAAAAATGAATTTCCCTTAGATTCAGGAAGATTTCTATCATAAACAAAACTGTTTAAACTGAAAGGTCATTTAAACGAAGGTTAAAAACAGCATCTTCATGCCTGTGCACTTACATAATCAGTCCCTGTGGTGGATTAAAGCTCCCACAAACCATATTAATAGTTCAGGAAGATTTTATTAATAGTTCAGTGATAGTTTCTCCATGGAGAGTTTCTGTGAGAGTGTGATTTTAATGGATTGGCGCGATAAGGGAAGGAGGCTTTATGCTCTCCAGCTCTGGATTCAAATTCAGCCTCTGAAAGAGTGGCAGTTGGTTGAAAGTTCTTGACCTGTGATTTTACAGCTTTGTCAGATATCGGGTAGGTTCTGTCCATCAAAAACCCATTCCTGAGTGCATCTGAACGTGTAGCACCCTTGGTGTGGACGGAGCAGGCTGGCTGGGAGTAGGTGCGAGGAGAGAAGCTAAGGCCCCCCACCCATCCACCCCCCCCATCGCTACAGCTG